GAACAGAATTTTGTTGCTTGTGATTTTGAACAAGTAGAAGAATTGTAAAATATCCCAACCTAATATACAGAGCCAGATATATGACAACAGTGTGGAACTAGCTTGCTATTGCCTCCTTCAATGATAGTTTACTTTCCAATCTCGCCTGCAATCTTGGGATTTACATTCTGTATCCTGAAGCATATTTGCATTTTGCTTAATTAAAATACACTAATTAGACTGTGAAAGGATTGTTGAGCCCATTTGATTACAGGAGTTACATGTCTGGATGATGCTTTAGATCAATTAATAGCAGAGTCGGGAGAATAGTCAGTCCAATACATTCAGATTCCAGAGCATTATGTAGAAAAATTATATTACCTAACATGAGGAAAATGGATATTAAAAAACTAAAAAGCAGAGTGATATGAAATTTACATGGATGTTATAAATGGAGAACGTGTCAAGTTTCATAGCTCTTGATGCGCAAGCTTCAGAACTATAGACCTAAACCTGCTTTTTATAAGGAATATAACTTTTGACTTTTACAAAAAAAATTACATGAAAGTTAGAATTTAAATTTACCAAATATAGAAGTTGCGGCAAAGGTTTTCAAACTTTGCTTCTTTATCAGTTGACATTATAAATATTTGTAACATTTTTGTTTTGAAATCAAATATAATAAAAGCAATGAAAATGGAATATTGAGGAATCACTGCACACAGATTCATGGGATCTTGTGTAATAAGAAAAAATGCTGGGAAGGAATGATAAAGCCCCTTCTTGAATTAATCAGAATTAAACAGAATTATTGATTGAGAACAGGAAATATCAGAATCCAGTCAGCTCTCCCTCTCTCAATGATCCAACCCTCCACCACCCACCCATCTGGCGTAAGCCACTGAGATAGCTGCTACTGTTTCTTCCTTCTGTGGATGGCAGGTGGGGCACAGAAAGGTTAAATATCCTTTCTGAAACTCTTTATATTATGCACAAGACTTTGTGATTGGACAGGAGAAAGTAGTTTGATCACACGATTCACCCTGTTTTAAGGTAAGATTGTCAGTACTTCCCCGCCTCCTTTTCTACCAAGATATTTTACAAGAGCAAGAACCAAAGAGCTGTTGTTTTAAAAAGCTTGACACATAGCAAATTTCTGGCATGACATATTGGAGACATAAATTAATAGAAAATTCATTAATTGGGGATCAAACAAATAAGCTAAAATGAAACTGAAATACCAGTCATTTGTTTTATATGACTGGGGGATGGAATTGTTAGGAGAGCAAGGGTAACATGCCATGGCACAATCTTCATAATGTACATGTGTGATACAATTTCTGTCACAATATCACCATGGCTCAAATCAACATAATCTGCAAGGAGGTTCAGAATTTGTCCTAAATTAGTGCGCAGCATTAGAATCTATAAAGTTTACTAAAAAAAGGCTTTTTATGAAACACGACGGCGTGGCTTTTGTATCAATATGATCCAGACATGCTTAGGTTTTCCTATTCCATTTTCCATATATTTTTATCCAAATTAAACCATAGATCAATAAAAGTCAATTTAAGGTCTCATTATATCTATAAATATACAGTATAAACCTTTTCATTCTTGTACAGATGTAGTGATTTCATATTTTTTGAATATTGAAAGTTTATAAGCTGACAGCAGTCTTTAATTCTGAAGGCAGAATTCTCTATTTAAATTCCAAGTATGAACATATCTCATTATAGTAGAGTATATAACAGCATTTTTCCTGAATATAATTTTTAATTGAATTAGATTAATATGCAATAGAATATGCAAAATCATGAAAGAAGATCCTTCTCTGTATTCACTTTTAAAAGGTCGCAGAGCAACAGGATTATTTGAACCACAGTAGACCATGTATTACAATTACAATATGATGGTTCCGATATTTTTTTTTTAATGCAAGACTGTGCATAAAGGCATTTTAGAAAACAGGTAAAATATTACTATACAGTTGTCTATTAGATTTATTTTTATGAGGCAGTTAACAACCAGAGTTGCAATAGGAAACACATTTTAATATAACAAAATAAAAATGCATGTTTTAGCATAAATATACTTTTCCAGAACATTACCTAAATGAATATAGACATAGGCACTCGTTCAAAACATAGTAAACTAATTCTATTTGATAATATAATCTTGTAATGTTATAACTACAGGATTTATTTACCACTGCTGTTTTCAGCAATAGTTATTTTAGGAAAAGCGTAATAATTTGCAGCTTGTTGTTATTTTAACTGATTAATAGGAACAAAAATAATTTCACTCAACATTATTGCAATATATAAATTTAACTGATGAGTTTAAATTGCCTGAGTAATCTGAGTAAATCAATTAACATATTTTTAACTTTGTACTTTGGAAAATGGTGCAGTTGTGATTTTGGTGCAGTAGCAAACAATTATTCTGGTATTGCTAATACAGACATCTCAGATCTCTAGACATGATTTCTTAAAAAGTTTCATAGTATTCTGAAAATCAGGCTTCTGCTTCAAAATAAAATGAAAACCTAGCTTGGGGCAGACCATGACAAGCCCGTTCCTTGCATTAATTTTTATCTCACTGATTTTGCAAGTAGTCAATCTGATTTAATACTGTATTAATGACACTGTTGATTTTGAATACTAAAACTATAACAATAAGCTAAACATCTATTTTCCAATGCACAAGTTTTCTACTTTAAATGAGAGTTTGTCAGAAACCAACTAAATTTAGGGTGGTTTCATATATGTTATTTGGGGATGATTTGTGCATATGGCTATGTTTTCCTCTTTTTATAATAAAAGAGATGTGTCACCAATTATATCTGTCCTGGTTGCTCAGGTTTTCCAGTCACACACTCCAAAATCATTATTTTTCAGCAGAAATTTCCAGTATGAGAAGATATTCAATATTGAAATGAAAAAACAGTTTGACCACTAATAATAAAATATGGGTCCCAGTAAAAAGGTGCTTTGAATTCCTATAACAGTCTTTTCACCATTTTGGAACCATGTACTTCAGCTCAGGGCACAATTTATCCCTATCTGAAATTTGAAGATCCTTACTTTGGCACTGTGAAAATAAAAGTGCATTCTCAATTATTTGAAAGGATAATACTGAGAACAAAAATTCCTTTAACATAATCTTTTTCCACAGTAGTAAATGTTTATCAAATCAGAAAGCAAATAAAGTGTATTTCAGGAAAAAATGGTTTAAGAACATGTCTATTATGTTTATTTGATGTGTAACAAGGTGCAATCAGTGAGGACGTTTTGTTTATTGCACAAGATAACAAAACTTTTCACAGAAATAACCTTATACTGGTTCTGGCTGTACTTAGAGCATTCACAATACCGCCTTTTGTTTGGAAACACTGCCTTGTTTCAGTGAGGCAAAAAACTAGTCAATTAAAATTAAATTGTACAGGTAGTCCTCGACTTACAATTCATTTAGTGACTGTTCAAAGTTACAATGGCGCTGAAAAAAGCGACTTATGACCGTTTTTCACACTTCTGACCATTGCACTATCCCCATGGTCACGTGATCAAAATTCATACACTTGGCAATTGACTCATATTTATGATGGTCCGCAGCGTCCCAGGGTCATATGATCACCTATTGTGACCTGACAAAGTCAATGGGGAAGCCAGATTCACTTAACCATGTAAAATGGGGCAAAATGTCTCACTTAACAAGATAAATATTGGGCTCAATTATGGTCATAAGTCAAGGACTACCTATATTGTTATGTCAGTATATATTATACATAAATTTTAATGTACATTACACACACATACATACATGTGTGGACCTATTAGGGTTTTTTTATTATGTTCTTAAAAATAGGAAAATGTGTTTCAATAGTTACATCCAGCTAATAGAAGCATATTCCAGTAATTGCATGCAGAAGATCTCTTATCCACATAATTTTTGTGACCTGCAATCAGTTTTAGGAGCAGGACAATATGAGCATGGTTTCCTTTGTGTGTATTCTGGAGTGCTCCCAAAAAGGTTCTGAAGAGTACTTATTGTGAATTCTTACAACATAAAACATTTGTAAGTGTTTAGACTGTTATTCTCCAGATTAAAAAAATCAACATAATATATATTCTACTAAAAATCCAAAGTAAATTTTACAGGCCTGAGGAGTATCAGATTATCATTTATTCCTTCTGTGAATGCATTTTATCATAGCTTAATAAGCCAAGTGCCACAATGTGTTGGGTTAAACACACACACACACACACACAAAACCCTCTGGAAAAGGATTACTGCTGAAATGAAAGGAATTGAAATCTCATTATCAAAGCAAAATTAGCAGAATACATCTTCTCTACTTTCTTGGATCAGAATTAAAGGAAATGTTGGATCTATTCTTTTATCTAGAAGTTGTATCTGAAACAGAAAAAGCTCTTCTTGGTTTTCAGAGATTCTTTAAAAAGGTTCATATAATAACTTTAGTACAGTGTCAACTCTTTGGTAGATATTTCAAACGGTAAGCATGGAGTTTTTAATTGTTCAAAGATGCATAGTTGTCATGCAGGATGGCAATTCTTGGGTGCCTTGATAAAATATATTAAAGTCAGAGGGATTAAAATGAATGATTTGTAAACATTAATGTTCCCAGGATATTGAATAAAGATTACTTGAAAAAAAACTGCCATAAATAAGTGTATCCATTTAGCAGGCACGTTAACATAATTGTAGAATTGAAGTTGATAAGAAAACCATCTTTGTACTGATACTTGTAAAATCAAGGTGTAAACTTTAAGAATAATAAAAAATATCATCTGTTACATGGCTTCTTGATGGCAGAGTCAACCTGCGGAGATTAATTAGTAATAAAACAACACTGACGTTTTCTGTTTCCTCACCTTAAATGTATTACTTTACATGGCTAACCTACAAGTTTGTACCCACTGACCTTGAACTTTCCTTACTGGCTACAGCCATGCATATTCATGCTCTCTGGAAACTATTCCAATTTGTTTATTTTAATTTAATAACAGGCTCAATTATTGTTACCTTCCACTGGCTATTATTACAGAAGTTCCAATATAATGAGGAAGTGTGGATTCTTTGTGAGTTTCAGGGGAAGAAGCTGATGAGGGGCTTTGGTTTTTGTAAAACATATTTACGTCCTCAGAATTGTGTCCATAATTTTCTGTTATGTGGCCTGTCGCCATGCATGAAGAAGTTTGAAATGTGCCATGTTTGGCTAAAACTCGGTGATAGTTCAGAAAGACAAGCGGAACCTGTCCTGCATGTCTTACATCCACTGTATGGTCGTTTTCAGGGTCACTGTCAAGCTTTGCAATCATTCTGTCCTCAGATTCCAGCTCACTTAAATTTGTAGCATGATTAGCAATATTTTCATATTTTGGTTCTTTCATATAAATTCTTCTTGCTTGTTCATATACTGTAGGAACCGGGACAAAGTGACTTAACTGTCCAATTGATTTATTTTGGAAAGATTCTGATTTTGATAAAAAGGAATTGGAGGAATTTGAAAAGGCCTTTTCACTAATGCTGTTTTTTTCTTGCAAGTCTCTGTTGAAAACTACTTTATTTTCTTCTTTAATGAGATGGTGTGCTGGACAAATTCTGCTTTCTGTTTTGCTGTGTTTTATAATGCCAGAATCATAGATTTCTTCTTTGTATTTGCTATTGGGTGTCAAGCTAGCACAACTTGTAAAACCTTCAGAGGTACTTTCATAGTTGTATCGTCTATGTGGTAGTGGCACTTAGGGGGGAAAAAAGAAATACATTAGATGAACAGGATTCAAAAGATGAAGAAAAAATAAAAAAACCTGCAATTTCTATATCTGAATATAAATCATTAAATACAACTGGGTACATTTGTCATTAATTTTAGAATAAAAAGCTGCTGGTATCAACATTAAAAGAAATGAATAAGCAGCTACACTCTAAATGCAATTGTCAAGAGAAAAAGGAACACTATTCTGTACCAAATTTCAAGATGAAGCTGAAGCAGCTTCTCAGAATCTCTAAAGACTGAAATTATTAATCAAGTGGACCTGAATTGTACTCACAATTGTAATTCATATCAAATATGCCAGATTTCAAAGATGAAAATATTTTGTTTCTATTTATCTGCCATGTTTTTTCTATTTTGTAGGAAACTGCAAAATAAACTCCCAGTTTCATTTGCAGTTAATTATATTAATTTTAAGAATTCTTTTCTTTTTTTCATGAGATCTTAGTCTTTGACAGTTAATATTGTGAGAATATGATATTGCCTTCTCTGCAATATACAATTATCAGGAGGCCTAAACCAAGGCTGTACGTCTTCATAGACCGAGATGTTCAGATCTATGAACGCATCCTGTAAAAAATAAATGCAAATCTAGGGGGTTTTTACATTAGGCTTATATTGACAAAACCACAATAGATATAGATAAAAATACCATTATTGCAAATGTGGGTGCCAATATCCAGGTGCAAAATATAAGAATTGGTGCAACAAAATTTGCCAATGATTTAAAGAATTCTTGAATCTGGAGTTGTCTTTCAGACTCTAGATTTAATATGACCACCTTTGACTTCCAAGAGTTCAATTACAATAACTATACAATGAGAGTAGCTGTAAATCCTATAAAAATACAAATAAGGATCTGATAATTTAATGTAAAGTTGCTTATATTATCAAACATTTTATCCAAATGTTCTCTATGACACGTTATTAGAATCTAAAAATGGTTTAAAATCTAAACATTATTCTTAAATTGCTTGCATAATACCCACCTTCATAATTTTGTAAGAGATTATGGCGTACATTACATGCTGACTGATCAGGACTTTTACATGGTGATTGACTCCCTGGAACAAGAGAATTGGTGTAGTGCCATTGGCACTCTCCACTTGTCTGCAATGTACTTAAGAAGAACCGTGCTACTTCACAAGGTGTTCCTTGAGGTTGGCCAAATTTAGAAGGCAGCATTTGTTTTTTGCTACTGAATACATGAGAGTCTACGGGGAAGTGCCCATAATGATATGAGAAAGGTAAGCTGTACGGTGCGGTGTATAAAAGTTCACTGTTTTCTGAATGAAAGGCTTGTTCTTGGATGGTGGCAGAGTTTGCTACGGAGCTGGATCTCCAACTTCCAACTTGGCCACATTCCAGCTTCTCTGTCTGGAAGGAACCGTATTGCTGAAAACGAAAAGAAAAGAAAGTGTTTAATACTGGACTCTGAAATCTGTCAGTACTGCAGGGTAACAGAATGCATGCAACCAAGTAATCACCTTGAAACACACACACTAAAAGAGACAAGCTTAACAAGGCTTAATTTCTAAAGAGAGGAACCTTTATCAAGCTTTTCTGGGCCTCCTTCCATTCCTCTGAAAACCCTGCTCTTTAATCCTAGATGTTCAAAACAAGCTATAGTTTTTAGTATAGGTAGTCCTCGACTTGTGACCACAATTGCAGAAGATTTTTTTAAAAATTCAGTAAGGATGCTGTCTAAACTGTTTTGTCAAATAGCATTTGAACCATGTAGATTTTAATTTTTTTATATTAGGGTAAAAAAATGAGGACTAAAAAACTTTACATGTTTTGAAATGGAACAGAGAATAACAAAGACCAACTGGGTCAGGCTAGGAGACTTTCTATTTTTAATGCAAAGAAGTGCAATCTTCATAACATAATCAACTAAGGTATTATGAGAAATAGTGCTGTGGCACCAAAAACAATGGTCTCTACAAGTCAGCATTTGATGAGATGTGCAGTAAATGGGAGCAGTGAGAAAATCTTTAACCCTGACTGGTGCCAGTGTCCAAAAAGAAAAATATGTTACTACTTAAATTACATATAACAATTATCACAAGAGTATGTTATTGATATAACCATGCCATTGTGATATTAAAAAAATCTATAGAGATAATAGAGTAATAGCAAAGATCAACAGTAATGACACTACAGCAGTTATTACTCTTGTCCCTGAATATATATGGACCAGTATGTCAATTTGTAGATTACAAAAGGTGCAAATATTGATAATTTGAATAGCAAAGAAAGTCTAGTGACTAGTACGCCCATTCCTCTAATAACTGTGTGTTGTTCCAGAAATCAGGTGGTGAAATGGTCGTTACGTGAACTTGTGACAAAGAAAGACACTGCAAAGATTACTGGCTACTGCCACCTTTTTCAGTCTCATACAGCTACATCTGCATTACTCTCATTCTGATATGCGTTTTGTCAGGCACACAAAATTTGGTTGTAGATGGATGCATCAGTCAGAAAATGAACTTTTAAATATTGCTATAAACATATTTGTAAATGGTCACAAACTGATGTAGTCAATTTGTAGTCACTATATATGAACAGTTTTGTCCAGAGGGAAGGGGGAAAAAATACCTGCTGTGGATAAGGAGTTGGTCTGAGTTTCATCTTCATTTTATTACTCCTAGGTTTTGTTGCTTTTCTTGTTTCTTGTGAGGTAGACATCAAATTTCTGCATGAAAATTGTGATTTAGAAACGGCAATTTGGTCCAGTGACAATGGAAGTTCCTTATATTCTATATCTCTGCAAGACAACAGCATAGCAACAGGTTGAATAACCATTTCTCATTGAGTTTTGCCAAGAACCCATCCATATAAACACAGTATTAAATGTACTGTGTAAACCATATATTAAAATGAAATCCCATACAAAAGGTATAGAAGATTGCCTTGAAATTGCCGGCAACTATCATTCATAATCTATGAAATTTAAATCAAAATCCTCAAAGTTGAACCCCAAAGTTATTTTCAGAGAGGAATAATTTAGGAACATGCAATTATAGACTTGTTCCCTGGTTGAGGTTGCACAGAACTAAATGGACAACTGACAATATAAAGTTAATTTATAATGTTTCCATATAAATAGCAATTATGTACACATTCAACTTGTATATAAACTCAAGATATAATCTGAGCACAGCCTGGATTGACGACAGGAAAGTCTACTGTCAGGCTAAGCCCAAGAACAATGAAGAGCGATTCAGCCAGAGTTCAGTTCTTTATTTGTTCAACAACAATAGACAGAATCTCACCAGATTAAACTTACTACTCTCACCCTAACCAATTCATCTGAGAGATTCTAGGGAGTGACCATCCTAATTTACTTTCCATGTCCCCTATCCAAATCCTGGGAGTACTGCCTCTTGTCTTGCCACCCCCCTTTCCGGAATATTCTCTCTCCTCCCTGGGAAACTGCCACTTTATTGTGGTCCATTACACCTTAGTATGCATGTGATATACTTTCTTCAGATTATTGTAGGAAATGACCAGGTGGAGCCCGAAGGTCAGGTCAAATGCATCGTAAGTATGGAATCCTTACACAGCCATAAGAGACCTAAGTCCATACCCCTGTGAATTCTGTTGACTCTTATCTAGCACCAATTTGCCTTGATTGTTAGTAGACCAGATTCATTCTTGTGTATAAATAGCATGCAACAAACTTCTAGTGCTTTGAACTCAACTCCTGTTCCTAGTTACTTGCGCCTTGGTTATAATGTCAATAGTTGATATAAACTGAGTTTAAACAGCTCAGTTTAAAAATGTCTGAACCAACATTTCTAATTCCTGCCACAATATATTGCTGTTATCAAACAAGCCAGCACAGAGAGGTCTTTGGCTTATCTAGTCTATATGTGAATAACTCTTGCAAAGGTACTGTATGCTGACGCAAATTGTATGTAGAAACATATTTAGTGGCTTTGCTGTGTTACCAAAACAGGAAAAAAATCATGAGAGATACTTCGAGTGTTGTATATTAATCAGACATTGGGTATGCACAAAAGCCTCCCACCTATTAAAAAAGTGGAGATATATCTAAAGGTAAAGGAGGGTGACAGGGAGAAAGGGAGGGAAGGAAGAAGGAAGAGCAACTCTACAGTGAATGAAATGACACATGTTAGTTCATAAAGTGGCTGAAACAACCAGGCCCTAAGATTATGACTCCAGGATAATTGGGAGTAAGAGATTTTTCAGAACCCAGCCAAAGATCAATTAAAACTTTTTCTGCCGCAAGTGGAAAAGAAACTACATTCCTTCTGGAGAATACTAACAAGCAATTGGTAGCTGCTTGTCTAAGACAGGCATTGAAACAAACAGTAGATGATACTAGAACCAAAAATGGCTTATTGTCATTCCCATATATTGTCCCATGACAATATAATGTATTTTTTAAAATTATCAACCCCCTCAGCAAATGCAAACAAGATGAAAAGGAGCTACAGTTATACATTTGTCAGCCTATAATTGCAAGAAATGAGGACTTACGTTAGGACATAATTGACACTCACTATGCAGTGAGGTCTTGATGAGCGGCTATTATGTACAATAGTGGCATAGCTCTGGACCCAAACCCAGCCACCATTTTTTGACAACAACCGATAGTACTTGGTTGTGACTTGTCCTTTCACCAACACTATAAAAACATTAAAGAGATTGAATTACATTTATGTTCTACCTGGTCCAAAGCTTCTTGGCTTTTGTAAAATTACAGGACTGTAACTTTTCAGATAAGACTGTTCTTTTTGTTTTTTAAGAAAAGGAGAGAATCGAATAGAATATACATAGGAGAACGTTTTCAAGCAGGAAAAGAAACATAATTCTCTATGTTAGTTTTTACATATAAATATTTTCTTTGCCCAAATCTAACACAAAAATCCACTGTGTAATTAATATAACAATCCTACATATGTTTACTCTTAACTCCCATGCTGTATGCTTACTTTAGGCTAACTTGATAACTTCTTTTATATCTTATTTTCTATATGTATAAAACTCAGTCTCAAATCAGCCAATAGTTTGGTCATCACCGAACTTACTATTAACATTCCACATACAACTATTGATCTAAAATATTAAGTCATAGCAAAGAAAAATTTGGATTACATATCCTCACAATGCCTCCATTGCAACCTATACTGTTTTTGCAAAGCATGTTCATGTAATAAAAACAGAAATGTTGGGTTTGGAATTTTTTGACATAAAATAATACATTTATGGCTGCAAAAAAATTAAATTTAACATATTTTATTTTCTTCTCACCCTCATTCCCATTTGTCAGTTGATACAACATAATTTCATTCACAGCAATCTTTCAGGAATCCACATCCTTCTCAAAAAGAGAGTAATTTTGTTTTGATCTAAGTTTTCCATTAAAATAAGTTGATCAGATGAGAAATCTCAGATATATTTTTCTAGAAAAAAATCTTCCTTTATATGCTGACCAAGATTTTTGAAATCTTCTTTAAATTAACTGGTCAGATTTGGTTAATCTTCTATTTAGATACATGTAAGTCTTTTCTAAACATCTTTCTATCCCTTCGTTCTGAGAAGAAAAAGAATATGGGATTGATGATTCTCCTTTCCATTATAAAGGTAGAGCAGTGAAGAAGCTATCAGCACTTACAAGGATGTCCAACTCTGTTGTCCAGAATATGATGAAAAAATTCTCTTGGAGAGAATTCCAATATGTTGGACAGTGTTGTGTGGACCTTTCTTCACTGCCATTGCCTCTATTCAAAAGGCTACTGAATTTATTAATTTATTTGTTCCATCAAGCCACCTTTCTTAATTATCTTCAGTTCCTGATATACCATGAGACTATTAAATGGACTATTCTTGCGAGACAGGCTACTTCAACTATGTTTTCTTTATATCTTAATTCAACAGGCATGTGACCACTGCTTGAGAATTCTTAGTAATTCCTACTAATCCTTCTCTCATCAAAGCAAATTTTAAGACAATAAGAGATCATTGTTTCACATCATTGGTTGTTAAAGATTATGTTCAGAACATAACATCTCATGTACAATTGAGAATATAATAGGGTAGAAGGCAGGGGCAGAATTGGTAGCAATTATGTATTTCACATGTCAATTTTTTGTATGCCATGTCTGAAAATATCCATAACATATACATTCAATTGAAAACCCATCTATATCAACACTGCACATTATTTGTTTCCTGTTACTTACAAAGGTGGTGAGCATATCGTAAATGAAACACATCACATCCATGCACATGGTGGTAAAGAGTTTTCTCTATCAAATCTTGGGGCTCATATCCAGTTAATTCAGTGACTCTAAAACAGAAAATATATCCAAGAAGCATTACTCTTGCAAACAAGTTGTCATTTTTCCCCGATTTCTAGAAATTGAAGTACAGATAGTCCTCACTTACTGACCATAATTGGGACTGGCAACTCCATCCATTAGCCTTTTATCAAATTGCTCAACTAACAGGTCATAGATGCAGAAACAGTGCTAAACCCAGGGCTTTTTTTGTCATAGAACGCCCAGAATGGAGTTCCGGCACCTTTTTGGGATGGAACCTTGTAGTGTAGGCAAGGCGGGTTGTATGACGTGTGTGAGTTCCAGCACCTTTTTTATTTTTTATTTTTTACAAAAAAAGCACTGGCTAAACCTATGTGCAAAATTAACCTGGCTAATAAGTTACATGTATAAAATAAGGGCATGGAATGAAGTGAGAGGGAATGATCAATCAGGAACAAGTTCTCTAATAAAACCCAAATAAAAACAATAAAAAGCTATAGCAGCACCAACTCTTTGTTGATCAAAGCAGCAGCAAGCCTGTAATGTGTTCAGTGATGATAGAACCAGTAACATCCAGCTGCAGACAATGTATCTTAAATCAACTTTTGACCCAGATCCAGTAACTTTTCAAAAGTGCTAAATTAGTACCTAAAAGGAGCTATTGTGAATTCCTCCACTGATTCTGAAACTAAAGAGAATCTAAACTACTTCTGGCCTACAATTCAAGAGGCAATAGCCTGTCAGCTATGTAGAAATAATGGGTGTGATTCAGTGCAGTTGGCCACTGATTCCGACAGTAACAAGTCAGAGCCAGACGTTGGAAGAATGTCAAGGCCTAAATCACATGCCTGCTCAAGAGGGCCAAGCAGCAAAGGTCAACGTGGCTCCTTGAGAAGAATGACATTAACTTTTCTAATTGAGCACACCCAGGAATTCTATTTAAGAGCATACACCAGATCCCCTCCCCTTATTGGAACAATTTCCCTGCAGATACCTTATATTCCGTGTTCTGTGGTGGGAATTTCAATTTGATATTTGGATTGGCCTTCACTCTGAAGTTGGATCCTAATTTGAACAATTGCCTCATCATTCCTCTGTCCATACTCTCCTGGTTTAATCTGTCTTGCATGGACAGAGCGGACATGTACTTTGGAAAGTACACATCAAAATGCCCATAGAGAGTAAAGCCTAGTGACTGGAGTGGAGGGGTGTTTTCACAGCAGCCTAGAACAGCCAATGAAGGCTGGATAGATCATAATCTTGACTACATAATCAACTGCATTATAAATGAAATGTGTTACAATTGTGTTCATGATAAAATTGTTTTGGGAGAAGACAAAATGCTGCTTTAAAACTAGAGCAGCTAAAAATGATTTAAAGCTCCTGAGTTGTAGGCTGAAGATGAAATGAAGACATCAAATAAACATATGAAATATAAAAAATAGTTGCCTGAGCATATTCATGCTTTAAGTAGTGGGATGGGGATGGGTAGAACTCTGTATGTGATAGGAAATATTTTTTTTAAATGCCTAAGTCAACTAACAGGACTCCCACTCAAGATGGCGATAGAGTGACAGCTCTGTAATGAGCTGCTGATTTTTTATTCATTTTAGTTTTTGTATTTATATTTTAATTAGTTTTATATTTTATTTATATTTATATAACACTATATTTAGATTTAATATTAAAAGTAGTTTTAGTATTTTTCTTCATTTTACTTAATTATCTCCTTTTACTTTTAGGTTATTTTTTAATAATTAGAATTAACACCTACATTATTTTTAATTTTTTTAGTAATCAGAAATAAGATTTTCTGGAAGCATTGAGTGTTGTACACAATTTCAAATACTAACCGAGGATACAAAGTAATAGAACAATATGCTGACAATGCATATTTGATAGTTTGCAGACAATTTTGGCAAATATTTGTGGCAAATTCGTTTTAGCTTTTCAAATGTTTTAACATTTAACATTTGGTTCTCTCAAAAGCTAAAGCTCCCTTTCATATTGTGATTGAGTGAACTCTTCCTCATTATTTCTAAATTATGTTAATGTGGGAGCAATTCAGAACAAGGTACAATGAAGTCAAATGTATAGTGAACTTAAATATAGGGCAGATATACTGTTAATTGTGCTTCCATATCTATAAGTGAACTCACTCAGTTTTGCTTACGTAGCTGCTAAAAAGCAGTCATGGGTATTAAATAGGTAACTCACTTTCCTATCAATAAACAATTATTAAACATTTCCTATCAATAAACAATTATTAAATAATTAAAGTGATTTGATTTAGCATGTGTTCTATCAATCCAAGGAGAACATTACTTCTTCAATTGTGTATATTGTATATATTGTATTGTTTCTTTATATTGTTTTAATTTTTATGTTTTTAAACTATCTTCTGCAAGTTATCCTAGCATGATGAAGAATTAGAGTAGTTATGTTTCAAAAACTTTTACTTACCTGGAATCCAGAAAGATAAGCTTTAAGTCCAGGCTTGCTCTGAACATAAACATATTACTATGAAGTTTGATCTCAGTAATTGCACTTGGCGGTAGTGATTGGCCTACAGCAACCAACCCCACAATTTGGTAACAGGTGTCGTACAAAGATATATCCAGCATATATTGCCGAATTTTCAAGTAGCCACTGCAATGGATCACCTAGTATGGACAAAAATAGTATTCGTAAAGAGAGAGAAAATAGATCGCCTTTTAATGATATTGAGTCAAAACCCAGGATTTTTCTCTTTATTATATTTATTTTTGCTGTCCAGTTTGTTAAAATGTCTGCTGCAAGAGACTATTAATTTTTAGGAATGGTGAATAAATATATTGCATGATATTAATTTAACATTGTTAAATTAATTTATAATTAATAAATTGATATAAATTGACATATAAATTTGTATTAATTTAACAAAGAACTGAGAAGACCCTGACTCAATATAGTTGCATTTAGTTAGTCCATGTTGGCTTTTTAAATTCCAATTTGTTGTTATTTTAACCATTCAGTAGTGTATGACTCTTGGCGACTTTATAGGCAAATGTTCTCCATGCTACCTTGAAAAGCAGCTTTTTTCACTTATTGGATGTTCATCTTTGTATCAAATTTGATGGTATCAAGCCAGCAGATTCTTTGCTTGCCCCTTCTTGTTCCTCTAATCATTTTTAGCACCATTGCCTTCTCCAATGAATTTGGATGCATGACATAGTCAAAGTAAATTAGATGTAGGCTTATGATTTTAGCTTCTGATGAGGTGTCTGGTTTCATTTGATTTAGCACCCCTCTGTTAATTACTCTGTCTATGGTAATTTACACCAGCACCACAGTTCAAAGTTTCAATTCTTCTTCGATCAGCCATTCTTATTGTTCAACTCTCTCACACCCATACATCATTATAGGAAAAAGGTTTACTCTAACTAGCCTGTTTTTGTAATTACATCAATATCTCTGCTTTTCCAGATGTTATTCATGTTACTATTGCAATATGACTTAAGGTTATCCTGTGTTTGATTTCAGGAGCAGAACTGCCATTGTGAGCAATTTTTGATCCAAGGAAGATAAATTGAACTAATTCAGTTTTCTTCATGTTGATTTTAAACATCTCATGTCCATCTGCAGCTGTGGCCGTTATTGTTGTTTTCCTGATGTAAGACTCAATCCTACTTTTTCACTTTTGTCGTTGATTTTCCAGATCATTTTTCCAGGTCTTCCTTATTTTCAGCCAATAGTGTTGTATCATCTGCATACCTCAAATTATTTATGGTTCTTCCCCCAATCTTCACTCCAACATCAGGCAGTTCCAGATCTAATTTCTACATGATCACTTCTGCATATAGATCAAATAAAAATGGTGATAAAATACATCCCTATATAACTGCCTTACTGATCCTGAACCAATCTGTGTCACCATCAAGTGTTCTCACTGTTACCTCCTGATTTGTGTACAGTGATCTGATAAACCTGATCAGGTGGTTTGGGACACCAAGATCATACAAAGTCGCCCATAGCTTATGTGCTATCAGCCAAAAGCTTTGTTGTAATTGATAAAACACATGTATAGATACTTTTGATATTCAAATTGCAATTTATTTTACTGCTAATAAAGAAAAATGAATGTTCAGTATTTCTGAATATTGTATTACTTAGTATGTGTTCTAATACAAAATGGACAGGCACATGCAAACTTAATGAAGCCTTTGTATAAAAAGTAACACATTATCAAGATGTTTCATAATGTATGTTGTGAAAACATATACATTAAGAATGGTAGACAAAGATTTGTGCAATATTGAAGGATATGGAAATGTTGCTATGATAGATTTATTACATCATAATCACTCAGAAATAAACTTCAATGCCTTCATTATTTATAACTAAGACTCAGAATACAGGAAATAAGAAAAATGTGCTTAAAAGTACACATTATTCAATAGATGTAACAAAAATGACACACATTATTCAACAGTCGTAACAAAAATATGATCAGATTATTCCCATGATTGAACTGGAAAAACCATTTTCCTTAATAGGACATGTAATAGAATTGTGCATATATCAAAAATATTAACATTTGCTTAGGAATCCAAGTAAATGAATTTGGTGATACTACAAAGAATATCTGAATTAAATAAATGGAAGAATAATAATAGTAATGTTGCCGGTATCCACTATTACCTGCCCAATCAAGGGGAAAATGCAAGTAATGCTTTCCAAAAACAAATGCCATTCTTTCAAAGATCAAAAGGTATGAAATGATAGTGATGATGGACTTCATCCTGATGTTCCAGAATTATCCTACTGAAAACTTTCACCTATGGGAAGGGAGGCAGGCACAAAAGGGTCAATTAACCTGGACTTGATAATTATCAGTTGGAAAGATTTGGGGCTTATTCTGTCAGATTGCCTGTGAATAATGAGCTAGCAATCATTTCTGGAGAGCAAATACACACCTCATTGCCCTGTACTTTCCCATCACCTTCCCTCAATGTCATCACTAGGCAGGTGTTCCTTTTTCTACTTTCTAAGTAGTGTTGGTTCAGGCAATGCTGCCTGGTTTGGCTGCTGTGAACATTTCCTTCCAGGCCAACCCTGCAATTTGACTACATTACAAAAGTGGGGAACAACCATACTTTCCCAGTTTTTTCTAAATGACAGTCTGCTGCTACAGTAGGCCTTTCCCATTAGCATGATGTGTATAATACTTCCTTGATATGAAAAATGCTTTGTAATCTAGTAGGAATGTTTGAAGTTTTTATTTTAATTACAATTTTTCTTTCTTTGGGGGCTAGTTATATTTCTGCTCTGTTTCCAGTCAGGTGAAGTAAGGAAGAAAGCCTAGCAAGAAAGTTGGTAGTTTAGGAAACTAAAACAAATCTAAATGTTTCTGCCACATTTTGAACCTATTTTACATGCCAGAGAAACAACTGTGCTTATGGGAAAGACTTCCTACAGCGGCTGTAGAAAAAGCTAGGAAAGATCTAGGAAAAATGTTTATGTTGAAACTTTTTACTATGCCTTCATATGTCACCATTTTGATGTTTTAACTTTATATATCTATACATTTGTATATGTATGTGTGTTGATAGTGGGAAAGACTGTCACATTCAATTAAGAACTTCCTATCTATATTAGATTTGGGTCAACTAGTAAGGAGATGATATTACTTGATCACTTCATCAAATACTTTTATATTACATTTTTATTTGATTTGTTTTGATCATTAGACTAAACAATAAACTACTACATATACATATACATATAAACACACACTATAGTTCGTTTAGTCTAATGATCATATCAAATAAAAATATTATAATTATAATATAATATAATATAATATAATATAATATAATATAATATAATATAATATAATATAATATAATATAATATAATATAATATAATATAATATAATATAATATAATATAATATAATTAATATAATATAATATAATATAATATAATATAATAATATATAATAGCATTTGATGAAGTAATCAGGTAATATCATCCCTAAGCAGTTGACAGGGAGCAGGGAGCTCTTAAAATATAGAGAGAGAGACAGTCAAGCCAGCATGAGCATAGGATAGGAGCAGTTTAAGAGTGGTTATGCCCTTATAGAGAAAACAGCCAGAATACTGGAGAAAAATTAGCCATGTCATACTGGAATTCTTGGTCCTAATGGAAATTAGAATTTAGTGTAATTGAATTCTTTTCTCAGCCTAAGAGTTCAAGGTAATGATAGGTAGGATTCTATGGCAGAAGTCAGGAAAAAAACCATAAATCAGAGATCTTGTGAAGAACGTATTAGTAACAGATAATTACTAACAAAGGAGTCAGTACCAAAAATGAACAATTCCAGTTCCAGGTAGCAATAGAGTGAACAAAGAAAAAAGCCAGTGTGTGGATGAAAACAAAAGGAGAGATAGAAAAATTGAAAGAGAGGAGGCTAAAACCTATATGTCACCAAGAAAGAGTATACAGAGAATTTCTGATTGCAGAAATATCTTACCTCATTTCTTAATCCCCCAACTATAATCAGAATGGGGGAGAATTTCACAGTAAATTTTGTTTCACTATATCACTTCCCAAAATTATTTTAGCTCAGCCTCCACTGGCCCACCATTTTTTATTGATGTAGTTGAGTGTATGAAATTAAATATTCTGAAATAATATTTAAATAAAACTGTGTTTTACCTTGTAACCACTACTTGTTAATCCTGCATTTCGCTTGGCCAAGACACACTTCATTCGCAGGAAAAAAGATCTCTCTATTTCATATTCTGCAGACAAAATATAAAGAGTTAAAATACAAGCATGCTACTTAAGTTTCTCATTTGGCTACTGTCCATGTATTTGAAAATATTTTCTTACAATTCTTAAATATATAAGACAAGACAGCGTTATTACTTTTGTCCAGTATGAATATATTAATGACCTTGCTCATGGTTGTTGTATTTCAAGAAAATTAAATGCTATTAAATTTAATTATTGGCATCATAATGTTAAAAATCACTTAAATTATGATTCTCAGTAATGTGGTCACACAAAGGCAAAGTGTACTGTGTCTGTCATCTTCACTTTTTACAATATCATGGGGAGAACCATGCACTCATATAAAAAACAATCCTCTCATTTCACAGCAATGCACAATTATATGATTAAAAATAGAAATGATAAATTATTCCAAAATAAAATGGTTTCGTAAGACATGCAAAGAAAAATACAAATGGCATCAGAGAATCATGGCATCATGGCAAAATAATGCTATAATCTATGTTATCCATCTAACTTCAGAAGAGGATTAATTTCTCATGGAGGACCCTGTAAGCTAGGTATAAGAGAAGTTTGTTAAAAGTCCCCTCATCAAACAGACCATCCCTCTTAACAATATCTCTGTGTGTATTTGTGTGTTTGTGTATGTTATGGGCTGGGATTTTAAAGATTTAAATCTTTTCAATTGTTATTATTTGTTTTATATTTCAATAATTATTTTAATCAAACATTGTACACTGTTAAGGAACAGGGTAAAAAATAAAGTAAAAATTATTATTTATAGATTACATAGTTCTAAAATAACAGTATCCCCCAGATATATACCATGCTGATGATTCAACAGGATAGTTTCTGCAAGGTATAACTATAGGTAATATTTTTGCTTTTCCTTCTCTCTTAATAGTATATATATTGGCCATAAGCCTGTTATAAATTAGAAGAATTCCAGTCTTTTTATTCAAACTTCATGCTATACTCAGATATAAAACTAGAAAAATAGCCATTATATTTCTATCCATGCCTCTTTTTGTGAGCTTGATTCAAATCTACAGATCAAATTGAAGGTATGTGTTTTATCTGAAGACCATATAATCCAGGAAAGAAATATAAATATCCATCCAAAGTCAGATATTTATTTACATATCCAGTCTGAAACAAGATCCCAATTAACAAAATGGCATAGCAATTTATAAACACAAAATGCCTATCTGTCACAGATGTAATTTTTAAAATGAATTATTTGATTTTATCAAGTGTGTCTCTTCAATTATATCTTTCCGGTCTTTGGAGATTCAAAGACAACATGTTTGACTTCAAAAATAATTCTAAAATAAAATGTCCCCTGTATAAGTAAAGAGCCTGTTCTGTTATATGTCATGGTATATAAAAAAAATAGGCACTGGTATTTTTTGTAATGAATTGTATTTATTCACTCAGATTGCACATGACTATTAAACAAGATTCTCTACACACTTCTGTGAAATTACATTTGTGCCTTTAAGGACCACAAACTCATCCCTGAGATGACGGAATGAAATCAATCTTTCTTACTCTCTTCCGTCTTTCATGTGTTTTCATACATTTTTCTCTGTGGCACTTTTTGTAATTTCATATCCTGTAAATAATTGTTGTTCAGAACACAGCCTTTATTATTGGATACCTGTAGCTTATAATCCTAAAATTGCACTTAAGTATTCAAGTAAATTTGAAAAGCCACATATGCAACAAACAGTACAAATTTTGGCAGAAGAAGAAAGATGCTGTAACAGTATATAGACCTTGGCTATTTACCAAGATTTTAGCATAAGGAAAGTTAAAGCGCAAAGCTCAGCTTGATATTTTACCATCTTTTTTATTTAAACATTTAAGTAAAGCATGAAATACCTTGTAAAATATGGGGATGAAGTGGTTGGTGAGCTGTTAAAATGGCTGTCATTTCATCATGATCTGATGGATGTATATATTCATAAATGCTATTACCAGTTAGTTCTACCTGCCAAGAAAACAGGTAATAAAATCAGAATTACTGCAAGTTCTCTCATCTTTTAATACGATACCTCAGAAATCCTTATACGTTATGTTTGATTTACATATAATTTACTACATGTTTTCTAATGTGAGTTGTTACTTTGATTCAAAAGCAGCTATTGACCAAAAATGATATTGTCTACTTAATTCTAACTATGGCAGTTCTAACTTATTGCACAGAAGATGGCTTGAAGATTATTATATATATATATATCGGAACTATCTTTTTTAATGTTAAGAATCTCTACAGTCATTTTTCATACTGCTATTATTTTTATTTTCCCATTCTTCATAAGGGAAGTTAGTTTTAAAAGCCTTTAAATATTTCTATAAAGCTAATTAGCAGGATTTGAGCATTTCAAATTAGCTACACTATTTACAGTTCTGGATATAAGACATGGCTTGAAAATCGAATATACTCTGCAAAGTTTCACTAAGACTGGTATTTGTACTAAAAGACTTGCAGCCGGAGATTCAAGAAACAGCCTGATGAGATAGTTTTATTGCCAATATTAGGGGAAAATATAGCAAAGAATCCTAGACTCAAATGTTATATATAAAAATGCAATGGTTCTCCAAGTTTTAATTTGCAATTCCCCCCATCCATTCTTGGTTAGAAAAACAGTATGTATCCAATTGTTGTTAATGAATTACATTTGCCAGTTGTTACAACTAGCTCTGCTACTTGGCATTGTTTTGACCCACACCTGATAGATCCTAGGTTGTTCACTTTTTAATCCAGCCAACCATCATTATCTTACATTTAGTTTCTATTTGTTAATGCTAAAGAACATAAACGTTGTTTGAAAGTCTCCCAGCAATAGATGTAAATTACAAAAAACTATGAAGTAGTGTCTCTACATTAGTGATAATCTATGCCAGTGATGGCGAACCTTTTAGAGACTGAGTGCCCAAACTGCAATCAAAAACCCACTTATGTATCGTCGAGTGCCGATTGGGCGTGGCCCATTGGGTGGGCGTGACCCAAATGGTGGGCATGGCTGCGGTGGTAACGGCAGACTGGGTGGGACTAAAAAGTTCAATCAATCAATTCCAACTTTGCGAGATCTTTTTTTCCCACGAGAAGTTAAAATTGATTAATTGAACCTTTTTTTTTTTTGCACATGGCGGTGAAGGCCTAAAGTGAAAAGGTTTTATAAAACCCAGCTGAAGGCCTAGGACTGGGGCGACGGCGCGCGTGCCCACAGAGAGGGCTCTGCGTGCCACCTGTGGCACGCGTGCCATAGGTTCGCCACCACGGATCTATGCCATCTTCGCAAGACATATTGAACCAAGTCAACAACATTCTTGCAACCCCAAATCCCAGGTATATCCAGATTAGAAGGATACTTGTCACCTTATTATTTTAACCTAGACTTTGTATGAGATTCAAACCTGGAAGGTAGATTAATTGATGCTATCTCTTTCTTTATTTCCAGAACAGAAATGCAATGCTAGAGGGATCTGCAAAAATCAGATTGCTCCAGCTACCCTCTTTATATCATCTATTTCACCAAAGGACACTCTGAACCCAGTTAGAAAGGATTTGGTTGCATTGCATTTTTGAATTGTGAGCTACAAAGGTGGCTGACATTTTAGGAGGAGAGCCATGTTGGCCTACAATGGCAGAAAGACAGGAGGAGTCTGATAGTACTTTTGCTGACTAACACATTTTACTAAAAGGCTGCTCATTTGACCAAATGCATGTTTCCCAACCTTGGCAATTTGTTGGCTGAGGAGTTGAGATCCACGTATCTTAAAATTGCCAAGGTTGATAAACACTAGTCTAGACTGATACAGGATTTAAATTGGGATGAGGATATGAGAACGATGGGAAAAATAATTTGGTTATACAGATGCAGGTTACATGAGACACAAATTACAAGCACCTTATCAATTAACAATTAATGGGTAGCTGGGATACTCCATTTTAACCAGGGCTGTTCTTAATTTCTTTTATTTTTTGGCTGATAACTGAGTTGTTTAATTATTTGTCAATAGCACCAGATTTGCAATATCCACGTACAATTTATTTGCTTGTTTAGAAAAAAAAAAGGTAAAATCAAACAAGGCAGGACATTGTATATTTCTGGCAAGATAATATTAGATACCTTTCCAACATAGCATTCAACAGAGGGACAAAAACTTATTCCTACCTGGGATAAACCTAGATGAACAGAAGCTGTTTCTGAGATATACATTATTTTGCCATCAGACGCTACCACAAAAACAAAGCCATCCAGAGTCTGTAAAAAAAAAAGAAGAAAGAAATAGAGCAAACGCTTACCACTTACAATTTACAGTCAAGTTCCTTGTGAGAAGTTTTTAATTTCCCCCTACAGAAGAACATATATTAAAAGGATATTACCCATATTGGCCTGATAAAGTCTTTACTATATACTTGCTATAAAAATCACTTCTAAATCATTCTCTTTTTAGGTATGATAATTTTGCATAGGCAGCAACTAAATTCACTGTATCAAGATGATAAAGTTTAAAATATTTCTTCACAGAAGCTCTGTTATGGTATTCTCAAAAGAGAAAAAAATCTTAACTGGCTGGAAGAATTATTCATATTTTACAAATTTAATTTTAGCTTGAGGGAATTTTTACTTTGTCTTTTAAATTAAAGTCTTTATAAATAGAGGATTCTTTGAAAAATGGACTCTTGGAAAATTGTACATAAAATTAAAACACCTAGAAAATGTCATTAAAATATGAAATTATAATTTCCAAAAGGATAACATGGAAATTCTTTGAAAATTAAAACTATAAATATGGCTATAAAATGCTCTTTTGACCTATTACAAAATGCTTGCCTGAGGCCTCACAAATAGAATTTAAAAAATAACCAGTAAAAATGAAGTAACTTTCTAGTTTAAAGTACCAAATCTAACAAATTCAAATAAAATCAACTTTAAAAAATTAAAACTGCTTTAAAGCACTAAAGTGATATTCCGTAAAATTCCATTCCAATCCCCAAAATGGGTGTTTGGAAGCAATTTTAGAGTAGTGTAATCTAGTGGCAGAACATTTGCTTTGAATGCTGAACATCTTAGCTTCAATTCTTGAAAGTACAAATTAAATTTTTATCTTACCAAAGCTTTACTCTATTCTGACTGACAGTGTTACTCCATGTCCTCAAGCAAATATTTTTACCTTTGTCAAAATATGTATTTCTTAAATATTTTTAAGGAAGGTTTAAAAAGGTTGCTTGAAAAATAGTGAAATTACCACAGTTCAGTGGCAGAAACCCTGCCATGCTCTTTTTTCCATTGCAATGTATCAGATGCCAAACATGGGAGAAACTCATTTAGGCCCTTGGAAGCCATTGCTTACCAGAGAAGACATCCCAAAGATTTTACCTGAAGTAAATGTGAACCCAGCTCCTTTGCAATGTTATCCAAGGGACCTAATCTATTTGGTTGTCCCCAGGCATCTCCCAAACCTGGAAAAAAAATCAAGAAGCTTCAGTCAAGGCATAGATGACAATATCTCAAGTCATGGCTAAAAACCAAGTGGCCTTAACAGAGAATGTGTGCGAAAGAGAGAATGGTAGGATTTGTTAGGTGGGAGAATCCCCTCTATTGTATCTATAGAGGCTAGGTGACCTTTTCTTGTAGAACATCAAATCCATGATTGCTGTTTTGTTGCTAACTCGTGTCCCATCAACTACTATAGCATGCAAGCCCCCCCCAATCCTCCGGGAGTTTGCCCAAATTCATGTTCGTTGCATGGATGACACTATCTAACCATCTCATCTTCTGTCACCCCTTTCTCTTTTTGTCTTCACATGTTCCTTGGAGTTCAATTGCTATTTTAAGGGATAATTTCACATAACACAGATAGGTTTCCCTCAAATTAGCCATCAGAACCTGACTAAATGCAGTTTCAAAAGAGTCCTTTTTTTGCACCTTCTCAGAATTTCCAAGTAATCACCACAAGTCTCAGTTAGCTCTGGGATACAGGAAAAGCAACAGCAGTCAAGCGGGTTTAGTCTCTTTGCTCCAACTGTGACTGCTTCAGTGGATTCATTGTGTTCCTTCTACAAGTTTGTCTTTTTTTCCTTATAAACTCCAATTTCAGAGAAAAACAGAACAATCACAAAGTTTGATGCCTTGGTGTAAAGTCATTTGTTTTTCATCTTTCCTGCCTTTTTCCCTTCACAGGATATGCCACCCCTCCCTTAATCGTGCTACTCTCCCCTCATAGATTTCCATAGAAAGTACAAATGTTGCTACTTCGCTCGAATCTGGGGAATGACCTTACAGAACAATCACATTCTTAATAAACAATCTGCCAAAACCTTTAACACCCACTAGGCATGGGTTCAAAAAAAAGTCTAGTTCTTCTGGCCATTGGAAATACCACAGCTAGCCATCATCTGGACAGTATAAATCCCACTCTCTTCCCCAACCAAAGCACTTGCCACATGTATTGTCTGAAGAATCAAGACCATTAATTTATCCTGGTTTCTTAAGAATACCTAAATTGTCACCTATATTCTGAAATAAGATCCTTATACTGTATATAAGAAACAAAATGGGTGGACTGGTTCAAAACACTGCAGTTCCACAGCATTCTACAGGCATTCCTGAAATAATTTCCATCAAATACTTTGATATTTTCATCTGGAAGACATATCCAGACTCTATCTCCACCCTTGGAAAACATCCAGAAATAAGCTTCCTTTTGTGAACTGAAAGACACCAGAAATTAGCTTCCCACCTTTTTGTTGAAGCATGTGGGAACTCAGCCTGCCTACTGTACAAGTCCTTCAGCCCTAAAACAGCAGGAATTTGGCATATTACCAAATCTTGAAGACAAAGGGGCCAAACTGACACATTGTACATGTTTGGGAGCTTTGGGGATAGAAAAGACACTTTCATAATTTATTTACTGACCAAATTTGACAGTGACAGCCTATTCCCAGTGGGAACCTTTTATTCAATTTTGATTTGGATATAGTACTAGCATAACATAAGGCAAAACGTTTGCGGGAGTTAGAATCATTGATCCCTTTCTGCTGCCATCTAGCATTTATCTGAATTATTGCAACCAGATGTTATAAGCATGGCTACATGCATTTTATATGTAAGTTGACTTTTTTATTTGTCTCTTCTTTCCCACTTGACTCTTTACTAAAAGCACTGCTGTCATTTGGAACAGTTGCACAGTTGCTTGGTTTGAGAAATAACCCAAATTACTATACTTTTATTCAATAGTTTATATTTGCCTATAATATCTCTCTCCTCTGATGTTCTGCTTCTGCAACAGAATTGCAGTTCAGTGCCATTCTGCTGAGCTGTGTATGAAGTCATCTTTTTTCCATTGTCCCGCAATCTAATTTGATTCTCATAATTCGGCTAGTGTTGTTTCATTCTTATTATTTATTATATTTGAAACACAAAATACTGCACACCACCGAACTGTTAGCATGTTGAAAAGCTCTTTCTGGAGCCAGATTTAGTATCTGGTTCAATGAAGCAGAACCAGTGGCCCACAATCACGAGAGGGAAATGGTGTCATTACAATAGTGCAATTCTACCACAAACAAGGCAAAAAAATATTTATAACCTCACTTCCTAGGTTCACAACCTCAATACAATACATTCACCTTTAACTGATATTAGCAATTCCATAATGGAGGAACAATATTCTCTTTTTGCTCACACCTTCACTTTGATGCTGCACCAAGCTTAATCATCTCCACTAACCAGCCTGGACTTTTGAACTTTTGTTCCTTGAACTTCTGTTTCTGGTAGGTATTTTTTTTTTCCCCAGAGCTATGCCAAGATAATTTGTGGGTTCCATTCTTATTTATTTTGGTTTTATTTGAATTTTAAAAAATTCCCTTTTATCTATTTTAACCAGAATCCTTGGAATCGGATTCTTCAGTTCAACTGCAAACTCTTGATTGCAAACTGCCCACAGATTGGCGATTAGGGCGGGATATAAACCTGCTCCGAAACAAACCAAGACAATAAGACCTGACCTATTCCGCCAGAAGAGGAGGCGGTTGTGGTGCATGTCACAAGAACAGAGAAATCCGCAAAGTTGACCGCGATTCAAAGCAGCCAAAGGATTCTCGTAGCAGTGAGGAGGGAGCGCGCTCGCGGGGCCGCTCCCGCTGTAATCTTGCGCCGGCTCCCTCGCATCTCCCAGCATGCAAAGCGTCCCGTCGCTCTCCTGCCGTTCCCAGGCAGAAGTGAGGGAACTCAGGAAGGGCCCGTTTTCTTTTCTTTTCTCGCCCTCAGTCCGGCGGGCCCATTCCCTTCAGTCCCGGAAAGTCCAACGGCGAGATGCTCCCCCTTAAGGGTTAGGTTCGCTCCTGTTGCGCTCGGACTCGTGGTTTCCCCGAAGGGGAGTCAACACGTGCGCTTCAGCAGAGGCCAGGCTGGCAGGCCGCTCCCAACTCCCACTATTAAGATGGTTTTGAAGCCATAACCCAGTGTTTCTCAACCTTGACCATTTTAAGGCGTGTGGACTTCAACTCCCAGAATTCCACAGCCAGCAATGCTGGCTGTGGACGTGCGCTTCAGCAGAGGCCAGGCTGGCAGGCCGCTCCCAACTCCCACCATTAAGACGGTTTTGAAGCCATAACCCAGTGTTTCTCAACCTTGACCATTTTAAGGCATGTGGACTTCAACTCCCAGAATTCCACAGCCAGCAATGCTGGCTGTGGAATTCTGGGAGTTGAAGTCCACATGCCTTAAAATGGTCAAGGTTGAGAAACACTGCGAAAAGGGGATCCCCCCCACCCGCTTCTGCGGAGGTGCAAGCCTGTGTTAAACCATTAGAAGAAATAAATTGGCTTCAAATGGCTGCTTTGAGAGAAACGGGGATATCTAAACGTTTCAGCTGTTGTAACCGTTAATCTTCTACAAGGCTTTGAACAAGTGTGAGGGTTGCGGCTTTGCTAATTTTGTTTGGGAAATGCTAATCCAGACGGAGAGATGAAGCGGCTTGCCTAAACCAGGCCCAGCCTTTAGAACAGAGGAACTCAGCCTTTGTTCTCTGGATTTGCGGGGCTGCATGGCAGGCACCCGCGGTCTGGAGATGGGGCTGCGCGGCGCCTCCTAATGAAACAAGCTCATGCAGAACCATGAACTCTGTGCGCCTCTCTCTCTCTCTCTCTGCCTTTTAGTAACAAGGGAACCGTCTACAAAGAAATGTGGGGGCGAGGAGGGGAAAGAACTATAAGACCTTCCTTTTTAAAAACACACCGAACTATTTTCCCTGCAAAACTATAAAAATGAAGATATATTTTAAGTCTCAGGCGAGATACAACAGCGTCAGAATAAATTGGGATAAAATGAAACAAGTCTTTCCACCGAGTCGACTTCGGACAGTACTTCCAAATAGCCGGAACAGGAGAGAAATCCTGCACGGATATAAGGGTTCCAGGGCATTTCGATTTATTAACGAACAAGATTTTTTCAACGATTGGACTTGCCTTACTATCTCTTTGTGGATTCTCCCCCCGCCCCCCCCCCCGAGCACTTCGTTAGTATGTCCAAAATCTATAAATTTCTTTGATTTGAATAATTGGAATCTGGGCTTTGCAGATGCCAGTTCAGAAAATTAACTTTTTTTCTACGAATATTAAGAAAAACTTGGCCGTATAGTATGAGATGCAAATCCACATTTGTGTTTTCTTAAGAAAAAGAACGCAGTTTGATTTGTGGCTCCTCTTCTTGGTTCAAGATACCTCCAGATGTATCTGAAGTGTATTCCTTTCTCTTGGTGTCTTTTCCTATTGAAAATACTGTCTCATTCCGGAGAGAGAAATATTTCAAAACATTACAAAACCATGATTTATACCTTGCTTCGCTATGGCATTAAATCAAAAGTCAGCTGTTCAACTGCATCAAGAACAATTCAGAGATTCAGAAATGGATTGTTTAAAGATAGGCAACTGCTCCGATAAAATTGTGTATGCTGACAAATTCGTTCTTTGACCTAAACGGCAGAGCGTATTAGGTTGGCTCTCTTTGATATTATTTCGCAGTAATTGTAGCGGGATTTTTAAGAGTTGCAAGACTCATTAAGTCTGGATGAAATCTAAAGCTGAAATCCTTTAGCCACATTCACTGTTGTAATCCGACCAGTGAAGCCAAGTGCCTGCAGCTCAAGAGAGCCTGGCCCCCAAAACAATAGATTTAAATTGAGGGAATCAGCGGCTTAAAAGCAACTTTATCCACCGATCTCTGCAGAAGCGAGCCTAGGGAGCTTTCTCCTAAGCCATTCAGTTTGGAATTTTTTGCCAATTTTGGGTGCGTGTGTGTGATTTCTTCATATTGCCAAATTGGGCTAAGAATGCATTGCCCGGAGATCAGAGTGACTAGGATTGAATAAAGTATATTTTCAAGTTCGCTTAACTTCAGCATAGAAACATTTCCAGATCCCCTTCTTTTTATCAGAATTTATCTAACGTAGAGTAAGTTG